TTTGGTTGGTTTTTTGTTTGGTTGGTTTTCTGGTTTGGTTTTTTTTTTTTTTTGCTGTTGTTGTCTTTTTTGGTTTTTAATTTTGCAGTGTTACCTTTGGGTCTCTCAGCGAATTGTTAAAAGGCACAAAGCTGGCAGATACTTCAAACGCTCTGGTGTGTTGTTTGCTCTTTCCCAGAACAGCCTAATTTAGGGCTTGAAGGAAATAGGGCTTGAAAAGCTCACGGCTTTTGATGCCGTGAGCTTGGTGTAGGCTTTTAGCTCCACTTGAAGCAGGAAAACACTTCAGGCAAATGCTATGCAAAAGAAACTCGTTTTTCCTTAGGAAACTGACACAATGGAGCACTTAATATGCCTTTTTCCTACCTTTTTCTCTCAAATATTTACTACACTTTACAGTCACCAAAAATAGTTGCCAATATGCTTTCGAAGAGCTGAGACTTTGTCCTGTAATACCCCAAAGTCTGAGCACGTTTTTGGGTTTAAAGGCCAGTTTATAATTTCCATCTGAAACGTGGCTGAATATAATTGCAGCTCTTTCTTTCTTGTCCTTTCCTTCATTTGAGACTCTCGTGGTGGTTCTTTGACTGGCATATTTTGGCAAGGGGGGAATTTGCTGCTCTGGGTGGTCACACAGAGCTTGGTGAGCTGCAGTTTAAGTAGAAATGAACCCTCTGCCTGGAAACAGCTCCAGAGTGTTTTGAAAGTGTTGCAAGAGAGATCTCTGAGGAAAAACTCCTTGCTTTGACAACATCAGAGGAAAAGAATCATAAGATAAAACCTTAATTCATAAGGTTTGGCAGCTGAATTGCATCTGCTGTTGAAATTACAACACAAAGAATGGGCTCTGTTAATTTCTGCGCCACTAAATCACCACTCCAGTGACTTGTACGGATGTTTTCCCAGTTGAAGTTTGATCTGTAAGCCTCCCATTCCAATACAGTTCACGTTGAGTTGAATCGCTCTTCGTGCACCTGACGTTCTTCCCAATTTTTAAAATTCACGTTTACAAGTTGGCTTAATTTCCAGGGTTTTCCTAAACTGTGATTTAAGGCAAACCTCTGCCTCTCTCTAAGGTTGAAGAAGAAATTGGTACTCTCAGGCAAGTTCTGGCAGCTAAAGAGAGGCACTGTGGAGAGCTGAAGAGGAAGCTGGGTCTGACTCCCTTGGATGGGTTAAAGCAAAACCTGTCCAAAAGCTGGCACGATGTCCAAGTCTCCAACGCGTAAGTGTTGCTTGTGATGCACATGTGTTTAAATAAGTCTATGTATGACACTTCCCAGCAGTGTATTTCAGAGCTCTTCCTTCTCCTCTGGTGGGTATGTAGGGTAAAAGGCACTTAAAAAAAAATCATTGCTGTTTTATGTCTGCGGAAATGGAATTTCTGTATGTGTGATCTGCATAAATTGTTGCTGGATGCTCTTTCCCGTGGGGTTAGAGATCTGGATCATCACTTAAACAGTCCAGTTTGCCCATTTCTGCCCATTTTTTGAGGCAGAGGCAGCTGCTACCTTGCCCTGAACTCAGGCTCAAAGGGAAGTGCCAGGAGTTTCACAGCTGTGCTGCACAGTGCTAGTTCAGAGCGTTTCCTGGGTCAGACAGCCTGAATTAAAAGCCTGCATTTCCTAGGAAAAAAATGTGTGATATTAGTGTTCATTGCCAGAGCCATCTCTGCCTAAAGAAGGTGTGAAGTGAGACTGACTGTTCCTGAACAGGTATTAAGGGTACGGTCACTGCTGTGCTTGACAGACCCAAAAGTAGAGTCCAAGAGGTAAGTTTGACCCTGCAGTGGGTGTCAGGGACTCTGGGTGCCCATAGAGGCATCATTCAGGCTAAAAAGTCTCCTCTAACTGGGATTTGGAGTTACTGACAGTGATACTGCAGAGCAGATCATTGAGCTGTTCATCTCACTGTTTACTCTTTTCCTTTTCTTCATCTTCCCTCCTCCATCCCTGCCCCATTTCTGTTATTCCTTTGTCACTGAAATCTGTGTCATTGTCTTCTAAAAAAAAATGAATATTAAAGTTATATTCATTAACACTTTCTGTTTCTAGTTATGTGAAAACATCTGAGAAACTTGGAGAGTGGAATGACAAAGTGACACAGTCTGACTTGTGAGTGCCTCGGGCTCCTCAGCATCGCCTCCTTGCTGCCTTCCCCGATTTGTGCTGCTCCTTGTTCTCACAGGCATCAGGGCTTGGTTGGGAGCTGGAGGCCTGGTGAAGCAGGATTGTTACTTCCAGCATGCCTGGCTTCCAGCTAGAAACATCCCTCAGTTGCAGAGGAGATGAGTGAATGTTACTGCCATCAACTCTCTCATGGTCTTGCTGTTGCAGAAGCAAAATTCCAATCAGTTACCAGACCACATTTTATCTAAAAAAAAGAGAGGGGACAAAAGTTTAACCACAGTTTCCTTTCAGCTGGTAATTGGTAGGTCAGTGTGGTGTTATCAGATGTCTTATTAGTGAACCTCTATCTTTACTGTGAAACCGTTTCTCTTCTCATCATCACATGTGGTAGGAATCGGTTTGACTGTTGCCTTTCTGTATGGCCACCTGGGAGGGAAGGGGCTGGAGATGCTTCCCTGTAGCTGGAAATAGGGGCTGTGCAACTGCCAGTGTGTTCATGAGCTTCTGAAATCTTCTGCTTTGATGTGTGAACCTTCTCCTGATCTCAGCACTAGAAAGCCATGAATTTTAGTCTTTTCTGTATATCCAAGCAGGTGACAAATGCAGACAAAGAGCTACTTCTGCTTCTGGAAGATATTCTTTAATTGTATTAGACCTCTGTTCATGTTAGACACGAATCATTGATTCCTGCTTCGTAGCTGAACCTATGGGAGCCCTTTAATGTTTTCTGCACTGAAGTTTCTCTCTCTCTGTCCTCTGTTGAAGGAGATGATGATTTAGCTAAGAGGAAAATGTGGATCGGGAGCATCCCATCATTAGGCAAGGTGGCAGTGGTCTAGTTGGAGCAAGTCAATTCTGAGTGATGTGAACTGCCTGTGATATCTCACCTCTGAGCTGTCTGAGCTGGGAACAGCCACATTCTGTAGTGCTTGTGTGTGTTTTGTACCCCCAGTGTTAGTTCTCACAACCCCTAAGGTACTGTGGGTAGAGAAATATGATTTCTAAATATTAGAAAACAAAAGTTTTGAGTGTTTGTCCAGGTCATGCTGTATTGGTAAAATAGAGCTTTGTGTGTGGCAGTCAGATTTTTTTGGCCCTGAGCTCAGTTCACTGCTCTGTGCTTTTAATACAGAGCTGCCACAGCATGTAGGAAGGGAGCAGAAGATGCAAAGTCTTTCAATTCCTGACACCTTCTGAACTGCAGGCTTTGTTTCTTTGTGCTCAGTGTTTGAACATGCTTAAATAAAAGAAACTGGGGCTTAGGTGTCTCCCTGCCTCTCAAACAGCTCTTTTCCTTCTGGCTGTAACAGAGAGGCTGAAGCTGTTGTCAGAGAACTAAAGCCCTTGATACTGTAAGTGTAAAGAGTCACTAATAATGTGGAAAGCATCAAAAGAAGCATCTGCAGTGAATCTTGGTGCTGCCTCTAACCTCCATTGTGTTTGTAGATATCTTTCAGCCAGCAGCACACTGGAGGACTGGAATGAAAAATTAACTCAATCAGAAGCGTGAGTGTCTTAACCTTCAGCATTAACAAATGCCTTCCTGACAATGCTGCCACTAACATGCTGTGCCCCTTCTCTCAGTCCTCTGCTTTCACTAGATCTATTTAGACATTTGTCTTTCCCAGCTTTCACTTTTTTAACCCAATAAATGCCTCTTCTGGGAGAGGGAGCTTTTCTTCAAGCCAATATTCAGACTATTTCATTGTAGTCCAAGTAATACTTCACAAATTCCTACCTGCTCCCAGGAACTAGCTGAAACCCCTGGGTAGGTGAGACCTGTGTGCCACAGGTTATACCTTGAGCTGAGAAGCTGTGGAATAACCAAACTGATCTCTTTTTGTGCTCTGCAGAAAACAGGGGATTTTTTTTTTTTTTTTGCTGTGGTACCTGATGAGAACAGATAGAGCTGTAGTGTCCAGGGCAGCTCTTCTGGCACGTCGGGGCCACAAATGCACTCAACCAGCTTAAACCTCACAGCTGTTCTACTCCAGTTGTTGACTGCAAAGCTCTTTTAGCCATGTTTTTATTAAATGCCTGAAATTAAATTCTCATCTGGACTAAATTATGGAAGGATATTAAGGAAGTTGCCCTTTGTCCTTCTCGCTGTGCCTTTCCCACAGTATGTAGGGCAGTCCCTTACAGTGCTGCAGTGGGAGCAGGTAGGTCGTGTCACTGTTTTCTGAGCTGATTTAAACCATGGTAAGGTAGGTCTTAAGTGGGAGCCAGCTTTTCCTGTTCTCTGGAGAGGGTATGAAATGCAGTCCTTGAAGCTGGCTGGTTATCACTGTTGTGTGTGAATAGACAGTTTTCTTCCTAAGATGGTTCAAAGAGGAGCAGAGATAAAAAGTAGGAGTAGCAGAAAAAACTTTCAAGTATGCAGGTCTACTTTCAACGTTCCCTGGGTGTTTTCTAGATTAAGAAACTGTAAACTGTCAGTATTTCACTTGCTAAGTAGAATGACCTTGGTTTTTATGCTTGCTGACAGTGTGGCTGAGTCCAGGGGTGTTTAATCAGGGTTCCTCCCTGGGTGTGCCTGCTAGAATAGAAAACTTCTGGTTGTATCTGTTTCCTTGTACTTCATAAGCACCAGAAATGCGGCGGAAACGTGCTTTTGTGGAGCACTTAGGGCCTGAATAGCTGGGGCACGTTAGTTTTCCTGCTTGCTTTGGCACTAGGCAGCGACAGTCAGTGCTGGCAAGGTGGAGGCTGATTGAAATGGAGAGGTGAGGGGGATTGAAAGGTGAAATTCCAGCAGTGCTTCAGAAAGCAATCAGAATTTCTGCTTCTCAGTCTGAAGTTCAGCAAGTGCAAAGAGGCAAGTTCAAGAAGCCCAAGGATGAGGTTTTATTCATACGTTTTGGGGGTTTTATGCAAATGAATCGTCTTTCCTGTTTCAGAGCTACTCTGCATTGTAACTAACAGGACTGAACTGGGACTGGGCCTAACTGCCAACCTCACAGTGCTTTTGTGTGCTGTGGAATTTCCTGGTAGTGGCCAATCCTGGCCACAGACTTGCCCTCTGCATAGGCAGGGCAAAAACCATCCCAGTCTGTTCCTAGATCCGGTTTCACTGTAGCCAGGGCATGAGATGACTTAGATGGTTTGTGTCTTTAGCCAGACAGCTCAAATGGTGATTGCTGTATAAAAGCAAGTGAGAGGAAGCTGCTATTAATGGATAAAGGAGGATTTGTGGGGGCAGGTCTTGCTCTTCCCTGTGGGGTTCATAGGAGAGGGGTGCAATGAAATATTGAAATACCACGGGATGAATAGCACAGGGCAGAGATCATTTCTGCAGCTTGTGCTGCAGCCAATTGCCTGTTAGTAAAGCAGGGTATTAACCAGAGCTTATATTTATTACTCACAGATTTGGATTATTCCATTGTGCTTTGTGCTGGTGCTAAGGGAAGAAAGTGAGTGCTTGTGAATTTAAACCCATGGAAAACCTGGCCATGGTGCTTGCAGGAGAAGAGTTGCAACTTCTAGGTCAGGGCTGGGCGTAGTTAAGTTGCATTAAAGCCTTGTATAAGCTGATCCCTGGCTGTCACAGATGCAGCTCCACATGTGTGGCTGGTGGCAGTTCTGGGTTAGAGCTTCTCATCCCCCTGTGCCTCCCTGGCTCTGCCTCCTGCCTGGCAGTGGAGAGGTGTGTACGTGTGTGTGGGAGCTGTGGATGCAGGACTAGGCTGGCCATCTGATCCAGCTGCTGCTTTTTTGTTCTTCCAAGTTTATGTTTAATCCAGGCAGTTTCCTTGATCTAGATTGCTGTGCCAGCACAAACAGTTGTGCTGGAGGAAGGAGCAAACTGGGGCAGAAGCAGCAGCACCTGAGTGCTCCATCTTCAATGATATTAGAAATTTTGCTGTCAGGTATGGAAAAAACAGATGGAAAATCTCTGGTCTTTATCTGCTGAAGCTGGACCTAATACCTGGAAGCTTGCAGCGTGTGCATGGTGTGATGGTGTCCCTTGAGGCTGTGAACCCTTCCCCAGTGCTGAGCTCTGGGACCCGAGTGCCAAACAGACCTGGAGTCAGCACTGCATACTTTGGTGAGCACGAGGTCTTCCACATTTGTTAGGCAGCTGTAAATCAAATCCCATGACAGGGCTCAGCCAGGGAGGAGCCTGGCTGCTGAAGGCAGGTTCTTCTGGATTCAAGAGGAATTTGTCTGAAAAATATGTAGGTTATAGGAATTCTCTTTTAGGAGCAGGAAGAGAGAAGGAAAAGCTGATGCAGTTTTGCCCTGCTCTGCAAAAGTCTCGTGTACATTTGTTATTCAGAAATACTTGTCTGTGGTTCTTAAAAAAAAATCCCAACAAACCATCATGTTGTAGTTGGAATTGCTCAAATCCAGTTCGGGTGCTGTGGTGCTGTCCACACACTTCTGTCTGGAGAGAAGGAGCTGTGAGTAAGTCAGCTGTCGCTGTGGTGTTTGTAGCCAGGGGAGCTCAGGCATGAGAGAACTTTAGGCTGTTTATAATGCCCTTCTCCTAAATGTCCTCATCAGGCAAAAAAAATAATCTCAAGCTGAAGTATTTGGAATAAGAAAACGTGGCTTAAAATGTTGAACTTGTTTTCCAGCCTGAGTATTTTCTTTATAGTTTCAAGAGTGACATGAATCTAGATGTTAATCACCAACTGGGGGACAGTTTAGAGAGAAATCAGCTAATGAAAGTGGCTCAAAGAATCTTTGTTCCAGAGATTAGTCTCATCTGAGGGAAACAAAGGTTCTCAAGTGTCTGTCTTCTCCATCTCGGGTATAAGCTCAAATAATCAGCTGACAAATACAAGCTGTCAGACTTCTTACCTACTGTGGTTAATGGTAACTGATAGGAAACTTCTCTACCATTTATTTCTAAACTGCAGTTGTAGAGATAATGCTGATTCCTGCATTTCTTTTCTGTATGGTGATGCTGGTTTTGCCTCTTGCCGCTTTCCTCCAAAACCTAACACAACAACAAATGCTGTAACTTCCTCAAGGCTGCAAGGATGATATGGAATAGGTTCCTAGACTTATTTTTCCCAAGAAGTCCAAAAGATAGTTGAGCTATTGGGCTACAATGCTGTGGTGTTACAGCTTCCACATGGAAAGTTGGTTTTGCTTTGCTTTTTTTGCAAATGTTTGTGTCAGATTTAAGAACATACAGTCAAAATGGTAAAGTGAGTGTATGGAAAGGTTAATCCTACACTTCCAGCTTTTTAAAAAACTTCAAATATTTGGATATATGCAAGTCAGTGAAGTCAGTGCAGCTCACTAATCTAGCTTCTTTGCTTTAATACGGGGTCCTTTTTCAAAATTGGGGGGGACACTTTCAGATCCGACCCAGTAGTTCAATTTATGATGTTTTTTTCTACTTAGTTACAAGAAGACCCAGGAAACCCTTTCCCAGGCGGGACAGAAGACTTCAGCAGCCCTTTCCAATGTAGGTTCTGTTATCAGCAGGAAGCTTGGTGACATGAGGTAAGATTCTGGTTTGCACTCCAGTGCTTTGATCTTGGTTTCAAACAGGAATGAGACTTTAGACAATGACCAGGCTTATTTTCATTTTTCTGCTTAGTTGGCAGCACACTGCTGTTGATGTACTACTCCCCTGTGTGTGGCCCTGTGCATTGTAGTTTAGGACAGATTAAACACTTATCAAAGAGTTATTGGTGATATAAAGCCTGTTCTGAGGCATTTAAGTTTGATTTGGTTTAGGAGAACTGACTGAACATTTTTAGAAGCCTTCCCCCTTTTACTGTTATATGGTTTCTCTGCAGATTTTATGTCATATGTACAAAACTAGTATTAAAGTTTCCCTTTTCCATTCCTTACTGGATTATGGAGGTGTGTTTTCTCAGTGTTATTTTTTCAGATTAGAGAGGGGTCATCCCTCCTGTGCTCTGTTATGATTTAAAACAGGGCAAAGTCTGGATGCTGCATTCCATGTGGTTTCCAGCCCCGTGTGTTGACATTCTGTGGAAAAGGGCAGCATGTCTTCCAGGCACAGTTATATCATGTTGGTTGGAAAATACCAGTTGATTCAGAAGATTATGACAACATTAAAAATTTGTTGCTGTGGGTGGTGATTATCTCGATTCATCTTAAGCGGATGACCACTGGAGTAACCACAAATTTAAACCTCTCCAAACTGGGAAGAGAGGCTGGTTCCCCTGGCTGAGGTTCTTGCTCTGTGATGTTCTCAGCTGTACAAAGTTCAAGGTTAAAATTGGTGATTTACCTGCTCTTCAGGACTTTAAGCTGGAGCCCCACTAGTGGCACCATCCAAATTTTTCATGAAGAATCCCTTGACCATGTTTTCCTGGATTTGAGAGTTAATTCTGAATATACAGCCTATCAAGGTTAATAAGGAAGGATTCTTAGAGCTTGTATTTAACATGCTGTATCAGACCTTGGATTGAATGGGTAGCTGTCATTCTTTGTAGGGAATTTCCTATTCCACTGTGGCTGTGAGTATCCGAGTGGTAAGAACTTGTTGGCCTCTGATCACATAGTACTCTGTCCTCAATGAGTTGGTTACTGTGTTCCTGGAGGGTATTTTTTGGTGTTTTCAGTTGCTCACATCTAAATTTGGCAGAGGACTAGCTGGCTCCCTACCCTTTCCAGCATTCAAGTTGTAACTTTTCTTTCCTGGAAACTCCCTAGTCTGGTGGAAGAAGATATTTTCATGTAATCACAGCAGATTGCAGATACTGGCACAAGATGTGGTGGGAACACATTTTGCCAAACTGATAAGTAAATTTGGTGCCTGACTTCTGCAGTCTGGCCAGGCTGTTGCAGCAAAGGGATGGGAATGGTGCTTTTTTGGGACCAAACGGGGAACTCCTGAACCAGTGTTGCCACCAGCAGGAGCTGTTTTGACAGGCTTGGTCCTGCCTGTTTTCTTTTAGTTGGGAGAATGCAGGTCATGCAGCTGCAGAGATGTTTGTGCCATCCCAGGAGCAGATGATGGAGGGAGGGGACTCTGGGCTGCTCTCCTGGTGACAGAGCTGGCCTGGCACAGTCACTGTGAAAATTGGCCCTGTAATCAGCTGGCCTAGGAACGAGCCAGGCCTTTGCAGCAATGGTTTTACATGGCATCAGTCACTGAATTAAACATCTGCATTCCTTTTTATAGCTAATACCTTGGGTGAGGTGTTATGAAATAGAGGCAGCTTCTGTCTTATCACTTGGGAATCCCTGCCAAAGTTATTTCAGCAGGATTTGTATTTGTGGCTCTGTGGGGGAACACAGTAATGATTTTTTTTTAAGACTTTCAGTTTTTCTCTGCATATATAAACAGACTTCTGTCTCCTGTGCTGCATCCAAGTCTTCCTATTTCTGATTCTGAATGAGGTTTAACTCTGAGCATAAGTTTTTGCAGGAACTGTCCCACTTTTCACCCTTGCCAGGTGAAACTCTGGTGTTCTGGTATGTGATCAGAGCTGATGAGGAGTGAAGTCTGTTGTATTGCTGTGATCACTGCTCTGAACGAGTGGGATGATTTCTGCTCCCAGAGAATCTCCATTACAGGCCTTGTAGCCTACACTGCAACCTCCATTACTGTACTCGGGGTTTTTTTTCCCCTCTTGCACTACAAATTCACTTGTAAAGCAAGTTTATTTTCCACCACTGGAAGTGTTGAGATAACAGAAGGGATTTCCTTGTTTAGTCAGCCTTCACTGGTTGATAAATGCAAGGAAGGCGTGATGAATGGGACAGAGCCTCGGCTGCACCGAGGGCGTAGGCGTAATTCCATTAAAAATGCTTGGGCCAAAATGTTCTTATATACAAGTAACGTGCCCCTGGGTTAAATCTTTGGGGTTGCTGTATTCTGGTCAAAATAATTTCAGATGTTCTGGGTGTGGATTGTAAGGAGACCTTGTGAAGTTCATGTTGTAACCGTGTGCTTACTGCATTAATGCTCTGTTGGATTGAGGGGAGAAAATGTACCTTAGTGGGTTGGATTTTTTCAAATCTTGGCCGGTTCAGCCTTTTCTGTTATCTCCACCTACAGTTAAAAAGTAAATTGGCTTTTAGACATTTTGTTCCTGCATTTTACTGATTCCAGTAAACTGCAAAGTTGGAGTGTTTTCTTTCTGTTGCTGCGTGGGTTTGTGTCCACCAATGCACTTCACGTTGTCTGATGAACTTTGCTGCTGTATGTAATGCTACAAGCGAATTCATTATGAAATGTTAGCCTGATCCCAAAAGTACCTGCAAATTCCCGAATCAATGCAAACTCGAAATCCTTGTGGAAGCAGGAAAAGGGTTACTGGAAGGTCCAGGCCAAGATACTGAACAAGCGAACCAGTTGCTTGTGGTATTGCTTACAGAGCAGCTTGGTGCATGGATGTGTTATCTATGTTGTTCTCCTTCAAGCAACAGTAAGTAGAAAGTTAATTTATTTCACATGCAAAGGCAGCATTTCAAGGAGTCTGCCCTGCCAAAGAACCGACTTGGATGCATAGGGAAATGAAACCACAAAGCCCAACGTCTTCACTCTGGCTGTCAGGAAAAACCCTTGTGCTCCTTGCCAAGTACTTCACATCCAGCTTGCCATGGCTGCTTCCTGCAGCAGAGACAAAAGTTATAGTTATATTTAAGTGGAAGAAAACACTGCTCTGGCAGGAGAAGCTCCTTTAGAGCATCCTGGTGATCTTACTAATAGAAGTAGAAAACCCTGGTCTGTTGTTCTGAGGTGCTACTGCATTGCAGAATCCCAACCTAAAAATGGGCAACCAGGTTATGGAATAAACACGATACCTTTAATCTTATCTTTATTAGGCTGCAGTGCATTCGTTCTCTGAGCTGTAACTTTATGATTTTCAGGCTTGGCAAGATAACGTGCAGGTATCCATTGCAGGTTGGCCTTAGACAAGTTCTCATCAGAAGTCCAAGCAATGCTGTCTTTGTATGAGAGACCATGGGGGGATTCGGGGGAAGGAGGTATCTCTACCAGTTTAGCTGGTGCTTGGTAAAACCTTCAGTTTAGAAAAAAAAATGCTTAAAACAAACATGTGAAAGCAATGGATAGGAATAGGAAAAATGTTTTGTTTTGCTGTTGCACACCCACTCCTTCCCCTCCCCAGCACCCTGGCTCTAAGTTGCTGGAGGTGCTGTTATTGCTCTTTGAAAAATATCTCTGCTTGCCTTGAGTCAATGAAAAGCATTGGTTTTTTGCTTGCTTCTGTGGTTTATTTTGAGAGGTTTTCTCCTGAGTAGTTGACTTTGCTGTCCCATGATTCTGTGACCGTGTCCCTGCGTTTAGTGTTTAGCTCTGCACAAGTTTCTGACTGTTGCTTCCCTTTTCTCTCTGCTGCCCGTGGCCTCTCCCAGGGCTCACTCCATCTCGCATTCCCTTAGGTAAGATACCCTTCAAGGCTCTAAAAGAGCATTTGTTTCTGTGCCAGGCCCTTGCAGACCTTAAAGGGGAAGCTGGTTATTTAAGCCTCGCCTACACTTTTGACACAGATTGAGAAATCTACCACAGACCAATGCCCTGGGATTGACTTTTGTATCACAGTTGCAGTTAAATACTTACTGTCCTGTATCTGGAAAATGAAATTCTGGGCTGCAGCTGTTAAATAAGGGGAGAGAGGGCTGACTCTTACCACTTGGGTTGTCCACAGCAGCCTGTGTGTGGACAGTGAGTGCTTCAGACCCAGGGTTCTGCTGCTTTTGCACGGTGTCAGTGTGAAATTGTCATTAACTTTTCCCTCCTTATTCCAAATGCTTCCGAGCAGCAGTTACTCCATTCGCCACTCCATAAGTATGCCAGCCATGAGGTAACGTAGCACTGTACCTGTGTCTGCTGCGTGGGGCTGGGGGGTGGTACAGCTGCCTCCATTGCTGCTGGGGTTTTTGTTCTGACTTTGCACAACTGGTTCTCTTCTCGAGCAGACCCTGCTCTGAGCATGGATTAACCACAGCCTGCAGTTTGACTGTTTTGGGGGGGGTTTTACCCGCTATCTCTTATGGTTAATTAGCACATGTGTTGTTCTTGAACTAAGCACAGTGTTGCACCTGTACCAAAGTCTGATTGAAATTTGCAGCTTTCAGGGGTCCCTGAAGGGCAGGATTACAGTTCTCTCACAATGTACAACATGGCCATTGCTAATACCAAGATGAATCCTAACTAGAACCCTCTGTCTCCAGCCTGGGACCTCAGTGCCCTTCTCAGCCTGCCCTCGTGGTGCCTTAGGTGGTGATCTTCTTGCAGGAGAAATGACTGCCAGGGCTGGACAAGGCCCACAGAAACTCTCTCTGTTCATTCTCATTCCAGATCAAGGGAGGTTATTTTATGGCTGCAAATATAAAGCAATTCCTTGGAACAAAAATAACTGAGATGAGACGAGTCATCTCCCAGCGCTCCTGCAGCCTGGCCCGGGGGAGCAGCACTATGAGTAATTGCCTGGTCTGGAAGCTCAGTACAGAGCTCTCCCTGAAATCTTTTGCCAGAGAAAGCAGCTTGTTGGGTTGTCAAACAATTGACCTGGTTTTCTTTGCTAGAAATATGAAATGCTCTGATTAATTTATTACACTGTGGTTTTCATGAGCATTTCCTGATGTAAATGATCACTCCTGTAGAAATAAAACTGCTGATAGGTGCAGGCACGTGGCCCTTCCCCTTCCCGCCCACGGGATGTGATATGGGAAGCTGAAGCCTTTGTTTTAAACTCTTCTCAGCTTTCCCTTTCCATTATTTAAAACAAAATGTTTTTAGTTGGAAGCCTTGTAAAACTAAGAGCTGATTTCTTCTCTGCTTACCGTGCCTTGATTCCCCAGTGAACTAGGACTTGTTTCCCTCAAGATTCTAGCTTGAGCAATTGAGTGGATTGCATGTGGTGTAAATGTTTTCCTCCAGAGTTTGTATGTGGTGTTCTTGCCTGGTGTGCCTGAGAAGAGATTTGTGCCAAAGGCTGTGAGGAGCTGGAAGTGTTCTGGGTACTGGTGTCACTGCAGGGGAACAGCCACAGAGCCCAGTCACGCTGTGCCATTTGATATGGTTAAGAACTAACTTGTCTTGATTTGTTGTTTTGATTTTTTTTTCCCCATCTTCTTTCTTCAAGGAATTCTGCAACCTTCAAGTCCTTTGAAGATAGAGTTGGGACCATAAAGGTAACAGTCTGCTTTGTCTTGTAAACCCACAGTATGAAACCTTGCGCAGAAACTTTAATTTCTGCAATGTTTTTCTTGTAGACTAGTATTCGGGCAAATGGCCTCTCAGATATGTGAAGTCTTGGCTACAGTAGGTGACCTCGACAGGGGGGAATTGACTTGGTATTCCCAGGGCTGGTTTCTTGTTATCCTCACTCTCTTCTCTCCTTCCAGAACAGAGTGGTGGGCAGCAGGGAAAACAGCACTGACGGCCTGCACTCCCCCTCGGGAGCTGGGGACAAGTCTCCACAAGACAACGCTCCTTTCTAGACCTGGATGTGGCTTTGCACGGCTGTGCACAACTGGAAGAGCCCCCTCCCTCCCAAACCTTCACCACAGCAACAACATGCCGATCCAAGAAGGGGCTGAGAGCCAGTCAGGAGAGATCCATCCTTCATTCATAGACACTGCTGCTGGATCCAAGTCAAATAAAGAGAATGCAAAGTTTTGTACACAAATAATATTTTACACTAAAGTTTGTAGATTAAATGTATCACTGCTGTCCTTTTGGGAGAGCGTGTGTAAGCTGGAGTTTCCTTAAAGTAGCTCAGAAATGCAACTGCTATAGATAAAAACAGTTTCCCCTTGTCTGACATAGCTTGGAGCAGATCGTGGCCCTGAGAAGCACAAGGAGGGCAGTTACTGGAGAAGCCAAATACATGCTAAAGCACCTTAGCTTTAGCTTCTGGCTCCATTCTCTGTGTGGGACATGCCATGCAGCTACTCTGGATGCTCCCAGGCTTCTCCTGTTACTGTTTTCTCTGGCTCTCATTGGAGCAGCCTGGTAAACGGGGTAAACAGTTGATTTTTTTTTTTTTTTCTGAGCTCCCAAAAGGGAAACTTCACTTAGCAGCTGCCTCGTTGTTACACTAATGCTCTAGCTTTAACAAAACTAAGAATCTTTATTTTTAAATGCAATGAACTTTAAAGAAATAAAGCTTAAAAACAGACAAAAAAAAAAAAAAAGCTTTGGCATCATATTAGGGCGATGCTCCCTTGGACTCTGAAGCTGAATTGCAAGCCTTACATCACTTACGCTTTACTTGTTTATGATTTGTTTTCTGTAGAGAAGACTGCAAGGTTTCCAAAGCTGGTTGTTGAGCACTGGAGTTTTGCATCATGCAGTCATAGCAGCATGCTTATAAAGCCAGTTCTTGTGTTAAATTCAGTGGTGCACTCTGTTTCCCGAGTGTATGAAACTTGCTTCTCCCTTCTCAGCTTATGCCTTCGTTCTCGGAGGAGGAATTTCTGGAGGCTGGAATATGGATACCATTGGAGGGACTTGACTCTGCTCTCCGAGGGCTCCTCCAGCTGGTACATCTGGCTGTGACTGGATGGGTTTCTCAGTTGAAAGCCCCAGCTCTAATTTTGGTTTACATAACTGGCAGAGAGTCACGGAGCTCCCTCAGTCCCCCCAGGGACTGGATGTTTTGCTCTTTTGATGTCCAACTTCATTGCTCAGGAGCTGACAAATTCCAAGTTTTCTTCTAGAGGCCTGATCTTATTCTAGTGCCTCCACATAGAAATACCTAGAGTGAGCAAATCTGTGCCTTAGAGGCGAAGTGGGACTTACTCAGGTCTTTAGACTTATGTACATATCTGGGTAGTTTTAGTGGTTTATCACCCGGGAGGGACTGAACTGTCTCTGACCCTTTAGAGAAGCAAGTTTTGACACTGATGTGATTAATCTCCATTTCCCCCACCCCTGCTCCCCTCCCTCTGCAGACCTGGGGATGAAATGTTAGTGGGCAGATGTACTAGGCCATAGGTGGAGTGTAGAGTGTCGTTCACTGGCGCTCCTTGTTTGACTGGAACTGGCCTCCCTGCGAGGAACGGAGCCAGTGAAACGGGGACTGCGGGAGCTTGGGTATGGAACTGTTTCTCTTTAAGATAAAGATTGAGGAAACTTGTCAATAAAGGATTCCTTTGGGAGAAAATGGGGTGAATGTCGTTGTCTTCTTCTGTCTGACAGCACCGAACTCTGCTCTTGGGTGCTTGTTATGAACTTGTCAGGTAAATACCGACTGCCTGCAGCAGCCTGAGGCAAGAAACAACTGAAATATTCCGTCCTATCCCTCTGGGTCATTGTCTGTCAGCTCTCCAGATGCTTTCTCATGAAGGAATGTATACTAAATAATATTTACAGTCTGATATTTCCTTTTCAAGATGCAGGACATGGTTCCCAAGCTGGTTCCCGAGCTGTGCCTGTGCCCTGGGCCAGGGAGCTCCAAGCTCCATCACTTCGCTCCCTTTGCCACTGGTGCTGCAGGTGAACCTTGAGCTTCCTGAGCTTCCTCGAGCTTCCTGAGCTGGGAGCGTGGGACTGCAGTCCCAGCAGTAACCTTGGGAGTGGGAGCTGAGCCTGGAGAAACTTCTAATGTGGAAAAGCTGCAGCTGTGGTGCTGGCGCAGCTTCCCGGCGTGATACCTCAGGGAATCTGTTGCCTCCATGGAAGCTCTGGCAGTCAAACAACACGGCACAGGGGGAGCAGTGGATGGCTGGCTGGAGCTGGGAGCTGCTCTCTCTCAAGTTTAAAAGGGCAGCGGAGAGCAGGCAACTATGTTGTGAGAGAGGCCAGCAGAGATCTCAGTGTGCTGTTTTCAGAGGAAGGATGCCTGGCTAGGCTTGAGGCACGTGCTTGGAGGTGAGGGCTTGGGTTTGGTTTTGTGGGGTTTGGGTGTTTGTTTTGAAGGTTGGGAGTCTTTTTACTACTTTACTTCAGTAGGTAAAACTACATCTCTGCAACTGGGGTGAAGAGCAGAGGGGTTGGTACGAGATCTGATCCTGGAGGAGAGACACTGCCAGGAACGCCCAGGCTGCAGAGCTGGAGCTGTGAGAGCCCCAGGGGCATAGGGATGTTTTCCACCTCCCCACTCCCTTCCAGCAAGGAATTTCGGGTGTTTTGCAGGAAGGATAATCAAACCTTCCCTTCCTGGTTACAGGCCTGGCAGGGTTTCTGTCACGTCCTGGCTTCTAGGTGTGCTCCTGGCAGCTCTTGTGGGTGCAAACCCCTGTGTTCCTTTGTGGCTGGGAAGGAAAGAAGAGTTTGGGAAAGTCCAGTGCAGGGCACTGGAATTCCAGAGTCATCAGAAGGAAGCCTCCATCACTGTAAGTGGGAGGGTGAGCACCTATGCCCAAAGATGGGACAGTTTGGGCAGAGGAGTGTGAGGTGCAGGCGCATCATCCAGAGCGTCAAAGGTGGGGGGAAGCCGTATTGCTCCATCCCACAAAGTGGGAACAAGCAGATAAACAAGAGAATCAAAAAGTAACCAATTGCAAAAAGCTGGAAGGAGCCACTTTTCCCTGCTATCACTATGTCCCGACCCTCAGCCTTAACTGCAACCAACATTTTTTAAGGAATTTGACATTTAGGCTTGTGAGAGGGGTTGCACAACCACTCCATCAGTGGGATCCTGTGCTCATCCCTGACTGTGAGTGGGTAGTGTCCAGAGCCAAGCACCAGCCCTGGGCTGCCAGCCTGGACCCAGTCGCTGTATCCCTGTTGGTGCTGGGATGGGCTCAGCATCTTTTCTTGGGCAAAGACTCCATGCAAGGTCAGTGCTGGGGAGCCCCTCAAGTAGCTGGTGTTCCAGAAGAGGAGAGGTCACAAGAGTCCTCTGGAGCATCAGTGCTGGAGCTGGGCTAGGGATGGAGCTGGATGGAGCAAGGAGAGGGTTTGGGTGCATGATTCATGGTGATGACTCTGTTGGCAAATGGGATCCATCGTTGTTCATTTCTTAAAAATGTGAGTCAGAGGCAGCAGATGGGAAAGGCCATTAGGGCTGCACCGAGAGGCCACAAATGCCAGCAGGGCCATGCTGGAGCTACGGGAGGGATAACTGGAATGAGTGTCCCTGCACTGGCATTCAGGTCACCTGCTCTGGATGGGTGGAAGTCAGGCTTTTACCCAACAGTGGGGAAACAGCCACCTTCCCTGGGGAACAGCCAGGAGCACCAGGAAAGTTGAGCAACTGGGAAAAACAGACTCACGAGCTTAAAAAAACCTGTTTTGCTCTAATTGTAAGCACTCTTTTGTTCACTAAAGGGAACTGGCTCTGCGCTGAGCTCCTGGTGCCCGGAAGGGCCAGTGGGGTGTCAGGATGGGACCCTCTGGAGCGGGGCAGGGGGTGAAGGTGATGCCCAAACCATATATAGAACCAGGGGTCGGTGAGTGGGCACTGGGCTGAGAGTCTGGTCAGTACCACAAAGGCAGTGAACCCCCAGGCCTGCGGCACACGGGTGATGTGCTGGGCACGTCCCCTGTGCCACTGCGGGCCCCGGCCCCACCGGAGCCCCTGTGCCTCTGCTCCCAGCCCCACAAATCCCCGTGCCACCGCTCCCCGTCCCTGTACCGCCATCACCGGCTCCTGTGGTGCGTCACAGCCCCCGGTCCCTGAGTCACAGCCCCCCGACACTTTCACCGCAGCCCCCGGTCCCTGTGTCACAGAGCCTGATTCCTGTGCCGCTGTAGCCCCCAGTCCCACCGCAGCCCTCGGTTCCCGTGCCACAGCCCCTCGACCCTTGTAGCGCAGCCCCTGTCCCCGGTCCCAGCACTGCAGCCCCGGGTCCCTGTATCCCGGCTCCCGGTCCCTGTATCCCGGCTCCCGGTCCCTGTGCCGCCGTGGCTCCCGGTTCTGCCGCACTCCCGGTATCAGTGTCCATATCCGGCCGCGGCGGCGGCGTCTGAACTGCAGCGAGTAACTGTTTCTCACATCACTCCCTGGTGGTCTAGTGGTTAGGATTCGGCGCTCTCACCGCCGCGGCCCGGGTTCGATTCCCGGTCAGGGAAGTTCTTTTTTTGCCGCGTTCATCCCGCTTTTCCACCTTTCCCCCGCTCGTCATTCCCATCAGGATCCCCCCCGCGCACTCCTCAGCACCCCCCGCCCCCCGCTTTCACTCCCACCCTCCCCAAACCCGCGGGGCCGCGGCCTCGTGCCCGCGCCCGGCGGGGGCGCTGCGTGCCGGGGGCGCGCATGCGCAGTGCGCCGGCGCCGCCCCCTGCCGTGGCCGGGTCCCGGTCGGTGTCTGGCGGCGGCGGCGGCACCGGCGCTGAGGGCGGAGCGCGCGCGGCCGCCGCGACCGGGCCCCGCGCGAGGCCCTCGAGGAGCCGCCCCCGCCCCCCGCGGGGCCGCCCCCGCCCTCCCGCCCCCGGGGCTGCGCGGCCCCCGCCCGCCCGCGGGCCGCAGGTGAGCGCGGCGGGGCCGGGCCGCGGGCGGAGGCCAAGATGGAGCTGGTGGTGGCGGAGGAAGGAGGGAGGGGGGGGAAGGACTGGGGGAGGGTGGGATGTGCCCGCCGCTGTCTCCCTGCTCGCCAGTATCTCCCTGCCCGGGGGGCATCGCCCGCCGAGCATCCCCGACCCGGGAACCCCCCACCCCGTTCCCCGGTGGCGGTGCAGGGCCTGCCACCTTCCCCCCCCCCGGACTCGGAGCAGGGGGGGAAAAACCCCAAACAAAAGGCCTTGGGAAGGTGAATTCCTAATGAAAGTCATCTGTGTGTGTGGGAGCTGTG